TCTCTGACTTTTGTATTACACAATAAACCACACTAAACTTGCTTATGCTGTTTCTGTATGATGTACACTGTATGATGTATCTCTAAAAATGGACAAAAGTACATTACATAGCTACAAACTACAGTAGCAGCCATCTTGAAGCATATCTAATTTAATAAGCCGATTGACTTCATTTTGAGGTAGGGTCAGATGGTATGAATTAAATTTTTGGCCAAACTCTCGCTTTAATTGCAGTCCTTTAGGAGAATGCAGAGTTTGCGTCTTTCGAACTCATCAGCTTATTATGATTATTATTGCTGCACAAGCACTTTATTACACATACTGGAATGTACATAATCACTGTATGTACTGTATCATAATCCCTCTGAACGAGAAACTTTTCCAGACATGCACTTTAACTTAACTCATTGTCCATTTTATCAGCTCCACTTACCGTAAAGGGTGCACTTTGTAGTTCTACAATTACAGACTGTTGCTTGGCCTGCTTTGTTTGCCCCCTTTTACCCTGTTCTTCAGTGGTCAGGACTCCCACAGAACCACCACAGAGCAGGTGTTATTTAACTTGTTGGTCCACCTTGTAGATGCAAAGTCAGAGACAATAGCTCATCTGTTGCTGCACAGTTTGTGTTAGTCATCCTTTTGTCCAGGGGTACACAAACCTGGTCCTGGAGATCTACCACCCTGGAGAGTTCCAACACACCTAGCTCTAATATTCAACTGCTCCTGAGGGCCTCTGTTACCTGGATCAGGTGTGATAGATTAGGGTTGAAGCTGAACTCTGCAGGGTGCAGGGTGTCTCCAGGACCAGGATTGGGCACCCCTGCTTTAGTCCATCATCAGTGGTCACAGGACGCTTGCCACAGGACGGTATTGGCTGGATATGTTTGGTTAGTAGACTATTCTCGGTCCAGCAGTGACACTGAGGTGTTTAAAAACTTCAGCTGCACTGCTGTGTCTGATTCACTCGCACCAGCACAACATACCCTAACACACCACCACTGCGTCAGTGTCGCTGCAATGCGGAGAATCTTGTCTTGGTTATTTTTCTCACTCATGAAGTTGACTACAGTCAAGCAAGCATCAACATGATTAGAAGGTAGAATATGCCAATTTATATTTATTTATTTATGCCAACAACCTGAAAACAATACAGTTTCCACTTTGGGCTGTGTGACACAAGGCTGATTTACCAGTTTGAGAATGCTGAAAATGTTTTTGATAGTGAGTCACTAAAGCCCCCATGAAGAGCAATGCATTCTTTTACGGCTAAATGCACTTTGGCGTGCTATGGTACATACAATAGACCTCTGAAGTCATGTCGTCATTCTGCAGTTGGCGTCATGCCCATATCAGGAAATCTGAGTCTGAACATTTTTTCTCTATGGGAAAAATGAATGCCCTTTTTCCTTTGTGCTTTCAGAGTACATTTCCGCCAGAATATCACTGGATCCTCTGAATTTTGAATAAACTTTCGAGTAGAATTCTAAAGATTTTGTCAGTGTCTCAGAACAGATCAGACCCTCACAGATAAAAACGCTAGGTAGAGCTTTACTTCAGACTAAGGGATTCACACAACAATCGTGGTCAGAACAGTCCAAGGTCAAAACTAGACAACAGGATATCCAGAACAGGAGACTCATAAAGAGAGGTCCCAAACACAGTCCATGGTCAAACGCGGAAATGCAAAAACGACAACGACAGAGCAAAAGGGAAAAGGCAAAAAAACAGGTCAGGAAAAGGCAAAAAAGGTCAGGCACGGATATTCAACAGTACAAAGAATGCTCGATATGCAGCGGGAGATGTTGGCAATACTTCATGGTTGACTAAACTAAAGCCTGGGCTTATATACTACCTAACTGATTATATGTAATGACAAACAGGTGAGACATTAGAGCTCAGGGGCAGTGGAGCATAGAAAATAGAATCCATTGGCTGACGGAGATGAGGATGAAGACATAGGTTCCTCCCAGAGACTCATGGGAGTTGTAGTGCTCTTCACAGGCCATGGATACTACAGAATCCACTGGTTGCAAGGAACAGACAGAAGGATTGTCCTCGGCAGTGGGTGTGACAGATTTTCTGCATAAGTCGTTGTTTGAGAAGTACCACTACAGTGGTCGTGAAAGAAACCAGGGGTCGCAATATTCAAATATAGACAATTTATTTACTATCCAAAACCACCAGAGACCTACACGTGTGTTTTAAGTTTTATGTTTCATATGTAGAATGGGGAAGTAGAAGAGAAAAAAAAAAGACGTTTTTTGCCTTACAATGTACCTCCATATGTGGATTTAAAAAAAAAAATCAAAGAAAAAATCTCAGAACTAGAATGAAACAATATCTCAGGCCTCAGGCAGCACATTTGCAACAATTTCATGTAATAGCGTTCTGCAAGCGTGCATATATAGGCAGACATCTAGTTCTTGTTACCACCGCTGTGAACAATTCTGACTTTTAAGTTTCTCCAGTGGAGTTAACACTCAGAACAAGTTTGCTCACTTGCGCATAGGATTATGTTGTGTTTTAAACATCAGCTATAGTATGATCTCATCTGAAAGATACATATGAATGTCTTCGAAACTGTCATTTGTTTTCAAATTAATCGTTAAATTGAGATATATTTAAAACAGCTTTGGAAAAAAGATTACAGAAAACTTTAATCAAACCAAAGAACTCTTGTAGGTACTGTGGGTTAAAGCAGTAGGATTTTTGGCCTGATGAGGAGGTGGCTTGAGTGATTACCCTTTCAGGTGAGCTAACACTACAGATAACCAGTGCAACATTCATGAGGAAAAATCATAGTCTTCCATATGGAATCTGGAGGAACTCTCAGTGAAACTAAACGCAGAGGGTGGCACATATTCAAGTGCATTAATATTTAACCTTACACCGAACATTTTTCAATCACAAATGCAACTACAACTGCCGCAGTGTATTGTTTCCTGTAAATTCTATGGACTTCCAAGACTTCTGTGTTTCTGAACACAAAGTGGTTTCTTTGAAGAAAAAAAACAATCCCTAAGAATACATTACCTTCTTTGAAGTTAACATAAGCTGGCTAGTCCACATAGATGCTGATCACAATAGTTAGTTAACTGCCTGTGCCAACCAGTTTGCTAACTACTGTCTGTAGAGTATGGAAAGCCATTTCAGCAATCTTTCTTTACATGACATAAAATTGAATTTGAAGGAAAGTTTTTAGTACTAGTATTTAGTATTTAGTACTAGTATTTGTAATAATTAAATGTTAGTTTGAATTCATATTAAAATTCTTCATACCATTAAAAGAAATCAGAAAAATTCTGTGATTTGTTTCTACTGCTAACTGAACTCAACTCACAAGTAAAGGTTACATTTTGACATGTTAGAATTTTTAAGCATTTCTTTTACATATTGTTTGACATATTTTGCTAAAACTAAAATCCCAAGCAGCTTTCCAAACTGGAGCACACATAATTCGAATGAACACAGGAAGTAAATCTATAGTAGTAGTAAATCTGAGCAGTCTGCTGTGAGCACGGCATATCTGAACGTCAAACTCAGCCCAAGGCCAGTGTGAGAGACTCAAGGTTCCTGTCAAACATACATCACACGTCCCTGTCGAATTGTCTGCTTTGAAGATGGACAGAAAATGTAGCCGTTATAACTGCTGACCTTCTGTGTACGTTGTCTCCATTTACAGTTACATACCTTTGCTCTTTACTTTTCTATCCTGTACATAAATAAATGAATAACTGGATGTACCACAGTCAGTCATTAAACATGATATTGTTAATTATGATGATGTGATTTGATATCAGTTTTTTTTTCTTGTATGTGACTCACTGAAACAGTTCTCTCAGAAGAGAGGATTCTTACAATGAATTGTGTGGTAAAAGAAGATATTTTATGATTTGATTGAGATGAAAAGTTATTGTTTTGCATACAGTCTAGAAACAACATCCTTTACATTTTTCTGTTTTTGTCTCCTGTTTTGCTTGACATTGAAACAAATGAAAAAAAGTCAGTAGTGCAGATTTGAGCTTTTCAATAAAAAGTGTAAATCGCATGTGAATGTAGTTGATTCACTGTGTAATTAAATGTGTACCTATCTTAAGATCGTAACTAATGCTCTCGGTCTTACATCTTTGGACTTTGGTCTTGTCTCGGTCTCGAGATAAGGTGGACTTGTTTTCGAGACCAGCTGAGTGCAGTGCCTCTGTCTGAGGTAACTGGAAACAGATTTTTTTCAACAACTGATTTTAGTTCAACAGTATCTTCAAGCAGAATAAAACTGTCCTTTCGCTACATGCTTGAAGAAACCTGATCGCTGCTGGTTGAGGATCTAATTAATTCTTTCCATGATGGCCGAACTGGGTATTGTTTGTTTGTTGATGTTTATTTGTTCCAAAATTTAAACATCCCTGGAGGGCAGCTCAGGATTATTGCTGTGTTTTTGTTTAATAATAATAATGGATGTATGTTGGTGGTTTATGTTGACTCTAAGTGGTGATTCTGAATAAGTTTTACAAATTAAGGTACAGAAAATAACCTTAACCATCATTTGCTTCCAATAGATATCATGTATAATGAGTGGTAATGAATGTACAAATAAACTAAAAACTAAATATTTTCCCCCTCCTTTTTTTTTTAGTTTTATGTTCTGAAAAAATCTTAATCTGACCTCAGTCCTGTCTCAGTCTTGGCCACTCCTGGTCTGGGCTTTGACTCAGACTTGTCTCAGTCTTGACTCAGATTCGATATGTCCATGTCTCGGTCTTGATTCAGACTCACCTCTAGTGGTCTAACTAAATATTTACAATAGAAAACTATAGCAAAATGAGGTGAATTACTTGATTTCCATTTTTTCTCAGCACACCCCAGATTACACTAGTCATTACAGGTTAAAAATGGGCCTCATTTGGTGTTTTGGTTATTTATGAAAATCATTTGTTGTTTTTATTGCTGTATATTTCCAGCATTTTTTGGACAGATTTCTTTTCGTCCTTCTTTTCCAACAGTGTGCCAGGGAACGAACAACAAACTAAGTCTTCTGGCCCAAGCAGATGACCACTACGAGGCACTAGTGAGGATGTACAGAAACTGCACCGTGGTGCTGAAGAATCTGGAGATCACCCATATAAGAGAGAACTATGACCTCTCTTTCCTCAGGGTGCGTCATGACGTCACACCAGAATAGAAAGCAGAATTCCCTAAAATGGAATTAGACCATGTTTACACTATTGTATGTGCTTATGGAGAATGAATGAAGTATTCTTGATTACTGTTCTTTAATTACAGAGCATTGAAGAAGTTGGTGGTTATGTGCTCATAGCGATCAATTATGTGGATGTCATACCCTTGGAAAACCTTCGTCTAATTCGAGGACACTCCCTTTATGAAGGCAAATTTGCCTTGGCGGTGATGGCCAATTATGACAAAAACAGCTCGACTGTTGACATCAGCAATCCCAGAGGACTTAGGGAACTTCCTCTGCGGAGCTTAAGAGGTAAGAGAGGTCGATCTGTCTATCTACATTCAATTTTAAAGTGTTTTAGATTTTGCTCTATTCAATTATACACACATTTGTGATCAACAAATATTGCTTGTTCCAAGCAAAACCTACTAAATAACTTAGACAGGCAGTAGCCTATGATGTACTGTGTTGTGGGCCAGTGTCCTAATGATCTATGAGCATTACTTAAATTAACAAAAGTACTTAAGTTAACAAAAAAAATGTATATAAGAAAAGAAACAAACAAAACAACTATATACATTCTGTATATATATATATACATATGACTCATATACACAATATACACTATTATGTTTACATATTCTGTTTAGTTGCTTGTATTTTTAGCTACTTGATATTTACTTACCGGCATGAAGTACCACAAAAGATCTGATACTGAGTGACGTGTGACAAATACTGTAGCTTTTCCTCTATTCACAACATTATATTAATTTACATAATTTAATTTAATTTTATATATAGACCATCGAAGGCATAATAATGTATTTTATGTTTATTATCTCTTTGTTCTCATATGTATGCTGCAATGGTTGGTATAGTGTAGTGTGTAACACCTCTGCTTTCTACACTGTAGACTGGGGTTTCGTCCCTGCCTCGGTAAGCACCCTACACTATACCAATAAGAGTCCTTGGGCGAGACTCCTAACACTACCTTCGCCTACCTGTGTAAAATGATCAAATCGTAAGTTGTTGCTGTAAATGTAAAGTACACGGGTAATGAATTATGCAACATTACATACACAAAATCTTAATTTCTTGATCTCTTGCATAATTTGGGTGATTGTCGTGAAATTTGAAACAGTGTTCTTAGTTTTTCCCTTTTTACTTTTGGAACTCTGGGGTAGTCTGGATGAATACCCAGTTTAACAAAAGAGAAGTGGGCCATTCCTAACATCATGGGCCAGCCTAAAATGGAAGTGCCATTATTTAAAGCAAAAAAGTCAGAGGAAAAGCTACAGTATTTGTCACACGTCACTTGATATCAGGCTCTGATCTTTTGTGGTACTTCATGCCGGTGAGTAAATATCACCTGTTGATGAGTCTAATAAAATAAAAGCAACTAAATGGTGTATATGGAGTCAAAAAAAAAAAAATTATATATACATATATACCATTACCATATACCATTTTTTTGGTAATTTAAGTACTACAAGAGGGCTACGCACCAAAGATTTTCACTCATCCTCTCACCTGTGTAGACGTGATGTGACAATAAACATGATTTGATTTGATTCCTTTAAATTTGTGTTAGTATATGTCTAGTTTACTAGGGTTTTACACTTTCTGAACTCTTTAGCTGTAAAAACATGCCCGGTATTACTGTGAATACAAGAAGCATGTGTGTGTTTTCATGATACTTTGACTTCCACTGACTTTTGGTAAAACTTCTCTTTGTTGTTTTTTTCTGCCATTCTGTTGACCACCTACTGGACAGTTAGTGGCTAACAGAATGAGATATTGCTAATGAGATATTAGTAATCATTTTATCATATACTATACCAACTACAATCTTAATCCTACTAAATTCCATTTCAATCATTCAGCCTAATCAAATATTTCAACTGCTGTACACATTTTCTCATTTATCACAGAGATTCTGAGAGGAGGAGTAAGCATTGCCCATAACCGCTGGCTGTGTAACATAGAAACAATTCAATGGCTAGACATTGTGAGCAAGGAGAGTAGCAGTACAGTGATCATTGAAGGAAGCACTGACCCTAAATGTAAGTGCATACTTTCTTTTTATCTCATATAGAAGCAGATTATATGTAAAGTGTTAAGATGTATACTAAAAGATTGATCTGCTTAAAAATTCTACATATTACACAATAAGTTGCAAGCTTGATAGTTCAAACTGGATTGGAACAGATAAACATGAGGAATGTGCTTTAGTTGAGGGTAAAACATGAAGCAAACTCCTTTTTTGGTAAACAGTGTGGCCCAAAACTTGAACTCCTCTTTAGGTAAACAGTGTGACGCAGGTTGCTATAATGGATCATGTTGGGCAGGAGGACCAGAAAACTGTCAAATCTGTAAGTACATTCTTTCACATGTATGTTGCATCACTTAATATACTGTGCAAAACCCCATTCATATTTTTATTTGTTCAATACCCAGTAAACTCCTCTGGAGTTCCACAAGGTTCCATTTTAGGGACACTACTTTTCTCACTGTGCATGCCACCTCTAGGATATGTGATCAGGAAACATGAGTTAAATTTTCATATAGCCATGCTGCTGACACACAATTATAAAAGTATTTTCTCTTCCCTCTAAAAGAAGGCTCTGTTGACAGGCGTACAAATTGTCAGACATCTCTAAATGGATGTCAAAAAATCATCTGCTGCTTAATCATGACAAAAGTGAAATACTGAGTGTTGGTACTGATTCTCAGAGAAAACTGATTTGTGAGTAATTAGATCCTTTGGCGTTAATATTTTAAATCTGAAGTTCTTTCATTGGTTTTTTAAAGCCCTAAATGGCGTAGCACCCACTTACCTCACAGAATGTCTGTCTGTTTATGTTCCAACACGTGATCATAGCTCGGCCAATTCTGGCCTTCTCCAAATACCCTGTGTAAACTACTGAAACAGAGGAGGGGCTTTTGTTGTGGAACTCATTACCTCTCACAATTAGGCGGTCAAGTTCAGTACACATTTTTAAGAAACATCTGACAACTTATCATTTTTAACCTAACCTTCATTTAAAATAGTGTTAACTTTTGAGCAGTTTGGGTATGACAAGGGATCTATTTGTAAAATGTATTATCATTCCTTATTATTATTAAAACAGCTATTAAGTACAAGGTATTCATTTTTCAGGAAGAGGAAAGTCAAGTAAGTGAAAATGAAACAGTAGTTTCCAAAAATGATCTGAAGACATAGACTCCTAATAACAATGCAAGACCTGGTAGACCACCAAAACTGTCACAATCAGATGAACAGCACTTATAGCTTTTGTGTTTGAGAGAAAGGAGGAAATCAACTCCACATTTCAGATCTGAAAAAAGCACACAGCACAACTCAACACTATGAGTCTGTAAAGATGTGTAGCTGTCAAGAAGTGCTTACTGAGAAAAGGAAACAGACAAAGAAGATGCTGGTGTTCTCAAAACAATGGACTGACCATCCCAGAGTCCAGACCTCAGCATCACTGAATGTGTTTGGGATTACTTGGACTGTGTAAAGCAAAATAAAAAGGCAAAGGCTGGACAAATTAATAACTAAAATAATATTATATTATATTATGAAGCATCTGTGTGATTACCTGAGAAATACATGTTTTCTGCCTTTTCTCCTGACACTAAAATATAAACAACTTGTGTTTCATGGCTGTTTTGGGGGCAATCTCTGATTTTTCATACAGTTCTGTAGATGAAATATTTAGTATTTCTTTAAGCATTTAAATATTTATTTTCCTCTCTCAGTGACCAAGCTTAACTGTGCAGAGCAGTGTTCGCATAGATGCAAGGGACCCAAGCCCAGTGACTGCTGCAATGAACATTGTGCTGCTGGTTGCACTGGACCCAGGCCCACAGACTGCCTGGTAAATAACACATGCTGCACTAACAACAACAACAACAACAAAATCTCTGAGTCAGCGTGTTTCAGAAATTGAACACATTGTTCAGTATTTATTTTTACTGCTACCAGTTCTACCCAGTGTGCTACACAAGCCTCAGTGTAGTGATTGACAACACAAAGCCTAATGGCTGGAGTTTGAGGAGTTCATGTTTATTTTAAAACAGTTAGAACGGTTCAGATGTTTGCTTTGTGTGCGCTGTTAAGGCCTGCAGGGACTTCAATGATGATGGAACGTGTAAAGACGCGTGTCCTCGTCTGATGACATATAATGCAAACACTCATCAACTTGAAGTAAACCCAGCGGGGAAATTCAGCTTTGGAGCCACCTGCGTGAAGAACTGCCCGCGTAAGTGTCCAAACGCACAGGTCAAAAGTTTTTTAAAACATTTTAGCATGATAAATCCGTAATACTCATTTATGCTGACTTGTCATAATTAAAGTTTCTCTGATTTCTTTCCTTGTCAGCTTGAGTCAGTATATGAGTCCACTTAAGTGGTGCTAAAGACTCAAGTGTGTTTAAAAAGGATAAAATCTGTATTAATAAGTGCTGCTATTTGAATTATTAACCTTACACACAAGTGGTAAAAGTACTGTCAAGGCTTTTATAAATGTATTCTTTATAAGTGTCATAAGTACTATGACACATCTTTATAAATACAGTATAAACTTGCCACTTTCTAATAGGCTAAAGGGGTCCGAACAACGATTATTAATTTTTAAAAAAGTATATATTAAACACTTAATAATGATGAACTTTTATACATCACAAAGTAGCAAGATTGAAAAGAACTTCTAAATCACTTTAAACAGGACATGGACAGTTCAGTCATAACTATTACGAACTGATTTTATGTAACTAAGTAAATATTACTTAGTGATGTATTTTGTGTATATATTTTTATTATTATATATATTTAAATTATATATTATTTATGTGTATATATTTTTTGAGTTATGAGTACAAAGTAAATTTATCATTATTAGCATACTGTGAACAAAGATTCATTTCTGCATTTCAGTAAATTGTTAATAATTCAAATGGTACCATTTATTAATGCATATTTAACTATTAGATAATGATTAAGTTGCTGTTTAGGGCCTATTATATTTAAAAGTTGCCACAGATTTTTTACCAGATTGCCAATAATTGTGACCCCAGTGTTTTCTCTACAAACGAGATGTGATATATGGATTAGAACTGAAATTCTATTAAATAACATTTTACATTCATACCTGTATCTGATAGCTGTTGTTGCTCAGCATGTATTTAGTAAATTAAAACATAAATGAGCATGTTGATTCTAAGCCATTTTGCCCGCTATAGATAACTATGTAGTGACAGATCATGGAGCTTGTGTCCGCACCTGTGGTGACAACACACATGAAGTGGAGGAGAACGGAATTAGAAAATGCAAGAGCTGTAATGGACCCTGTCCAAAAGGTGAATATCAATTGAAAGTTTTGTTCTAAACTATTGGCTGCTCCATTTGTTCATTGTATTGTCTTTTTCACAACTCAATGCTGTGGGTCCAAAAGATGTGTAGCAGTTAAGAATCTAAAACTTTGAAAAGGAAATAGACAAAAAAAAAAAAGGAAGAAAAATTGCAAATCAAACAAAGAAGCTGCTGATGTTCTCAGAACAATGGACTCACCAACACTACTGAATGTTACGGAAGTCCTGAGAGGCCTTAAGCTGTCGCTGTAATTTTCTGGATTGTTTTCTTGATATAACAAGATAAGTAACTGGTTATTTCTAGATGACAATTCTGTCATCTTGAAATAACAAGAAAAATAACTAAGTTTCTCAAGATAGCAACTTTATTATCTTGAGATCACAAGATAATTAACTCGTTATCTCAAAATAACAATCCAGAAAATTATAACTACCTCATGGCCTCTCTAGACTTCCATAGGATGTGTTTGGGATTACTTGGATTGTGTGAAGCAAAATAAAAAAAAAACTATTGGCTGCTCGGTTTGTTCATTGTAAATATCTACTATATCTTCTGATAATTAACTCAGTGACCGTGTGAAATATGAATGCCTTTTGTGTAGATTGCAGTGGACTTGGAACAGGGAAACTTGTTGGAGTCATGTCAGTCAACGCAACTAACATTGATACCTTTAAAGATTGCACCAAAATAAATGGAGACATCTCAATATTTGGAACTACATTTAATGGGTGAGAAATCTACAAAAGTCATTTGCTTCATTCAGTCTTGTTCTTTGTTGATAGTGAACAGTTACACAGTTATCTGGATTCAGCAAAAGTGTTTTTTTTCAGGGATCCCTATACAAAAACACCTAAAATGGACCCTGCTAAACTGGATTATTTTAAGACCGTTAAGGAAATTACAGGTACATTTAGCTGAATATCATGTGTACTCTTTTGGTTACATTTTGTTCTGACACTGATGATTTTTGTGGGGCGGGGCTGGGGTGGAATTGAGTTACGGTCTGTCTAAGAAGTTAATAAAGAAATGTACTTTTATCCACAGTCTATTTTTCTTATACTACAGCCTCAGGGTCTGGTCTAAACTTGCCTTTCCCCTAAAATTACATGAAGTGAATTGCATGCTTGATTAAATTTAAATTAGAAATTGACAGTCTAGAATGCAGTTCTTCCACTTGGTGTCACAGTGATTGCAAAAGGCTGCATATCAAAGCATGACAGTTGTAGAACAAATTTTTACAATTGGCTTCTGGAAAAGGAAGAATATCAGATATTAGATATCTAAAAATATTGACTATGATGTACAATGTGAAGTGCCTCAATATCCGGATTTACACTCCAGTAGGTAATAGAGACTACACGAAAAGTAGACACAGTGAAGGCAACTGACTCTAAACATGAGCAAATGACTATCCATTTGTAGTTAGGACTTGGTAAAGGATCTCAAAGAAACAGGAAAGTTGAGTCATCATAGTGTAGTTAAGCTGGATATAAAATGACAGTAAGCTGGGTCATCACAGAGTTGTAAGCTGAATATAAGTGCAAGACCTTTAACTTACTTCTAATGTTCATTTATTTTTATAATTTTCTCCCAATATGTATTCTCACTTAAAATGTGAAAATGTGCTATTGGAACAGCACATAATAAACATTGTTTGCAGCGAAAGTAGGAAATTTGGCTTAAATGGAGATAAATTGTCAGCTTCAGGATATAGAGGGTGGGGGGATTAATCCAAGGATCTTAACTCGGGGCCAAAGGGAAGAGAAACTAAATTATTTTGTCCTGTGTCTGAGCCTTTTTAGACCATTGATCATTGTCATTATCTTTGATCTTTTACAGGGTTTCTGCTGATACAGGCTTGGCCAGAAAACCTCACTTCATTGAGTCCGTTTGAAAATCTGGAGATCATCAGAGGCAGAACCAAGCAACAGTTAGATCTTTTTTTATAACCATATATAAATGCCATTTTGTTCCAGTGCATATACAGTACTGCGCACAAGTTTAAGGCACCGTAGCACACAGTTTAAAACCATTTATCTTGGCAATAATAGCAAAGGACGCTGGCAAGAAATACCAAATACCATTAGCACAGTTGCAAATAAACATAAATACAAATGACGAACTTACTTATTTGAAAAAAGTAGTAGGTATCTTGTGAGCTGGGTTGAAGAACAAAGTTGTTAAATTCCAGCACATGTGAAGTATATAATGTAATATAATGAAGCATTGACTGGCTAAAGCAGGTGCTGTGTGATAACCACAAATAAAACTGGGCTACCCTGAAGAAACGTTCGGAAATGGTTAAACGAACACATTCACATATGTAAAATCACTACTTAATGCAGGGATGGGGGAGTAGCTAAGTAGCGCGCTACTTTTTGTAGCTAACTACAATTTTTTTGTAGCTAATAGCTGTAGCTGCTAAACAAAAAAAAAGCCGTTTAAACAAAAACACGCAGACTTACTTTGCTTTAAGCTTTAGGTCAGCTGAAGCCGCTTTTCTCACACCTCAGTCAGGAAACTTTTCCACGGGTTTCTTGTAAAACGTCTTTCAGTGTTCGACTTTTTACGAGGCTGAAGTCGCTTCTCATTCACCAGCTCGAATTGTCCTGTTCCACCTTAAATGGTGCCTTGTACTGCTGCGCCATTTAAAGGTGGAACAGGACAATTCGAGCTGGTGAATGAGAAGCAACTTTAGCTTCGTGAGTTGTTGCAGATTAAACGTATGAGGAAACCAGCTGAGTGCTTATAAATGCAAATAAGTCCATTCATCTCCAAATTATCGATGTTCGTCTTAAATCTTTCTCTTTGCCATTTCGTTGTCTGTGTTGCTGTGTGCCCAGCCGTCTGTGCGTCAGTCTTCAGCGTTAAGGTTGGTCAATTAGCAGTTACGCATTAACTCCAGCATTTAAGACCATTAATTTTACAGTAAAGGAAGATTATGTTATTTTACCTAAAAATCTAGTTCTCCTGTGGAGCCTCAACAGCTCTGCAGCAGTGGAGAGATGATTCAGGCCTGATTCTCACAAACAGAACCAGGGTCACTGATGAGAATTTTGAGGCTGAAGTGTTGCTTACGTTTAATAAAGGACTGTGAATGTCATGGCTGTATATCTTGCTGAAATGTTTAAATTGGAGCAGTTTTATTTCAACAGCTGACAGTGCTTTGCACAAAGTTGGTTTCAGTTATTTTTGTTGATTTTTGTTAGGAAAAAACTGGAATGATTGACTTTGTCTTTACTTACTCTCAGTTTTTGTTGGATATCATGCCTTTGGTTGTGTACATTTTATTGTTGGTTACACTTAAACTCACTTTTTGGTGATCTTTTTGAATATTTGCAACTTTTCAATTGAATGTTTCTTTCTGGCTCATGACTAAACGCAGTGTCTTGTTCACACTGTCAGTTGGGCTTGTTTGGTGTGTCAGGTGGAGATTCACAAACATTCTGAGAATTGCGCTTTGAAAGTGGCTAAAAAGTCGTGCACTACTTTTCAAAAAGTAGCTAAAAAGTAGCCACTACTTTTACTGGAAAAGTAGCTAAATTATAGCTAGCTACAAATTTTTGGAAAGTAGCTACAAAGTAGCTAACTACTAATTTTCAGCTATCCCAACCCTGACTCAGTGTATCAGTGCTATTTGTATTTTTTCCAATATTAATGTTTCCTGAGCAAATTTGTCAGGTGCCTAAAACTTTTGCACTTTACTGCATATTTTGCAATGCTACACAAGTGTTAACAGTTACAGTAGACAAGTTTTGAGCCATATGAATCTGACTTGGCAAAGAAAAGTTACAGTTACATTTTCAATTTTAACCCCTTAAAATCCCAGGCTTATGACATACTAAGGCTTATTATTTAGTAACAACGGGGACTTCGGGCAGGGACTTCGGGCAGGGACTTCGGGCCTGTTGTTGCTGGCCATTTAAGAGGTTAAATGGTGTGTCTGTTCTATGGTACTATCAGAGATCTCGGACATTCAAGTCCTTTCTGCAAAATCTTCTGGATATTTTGGCCATTTCAAAAGATGTAAAATATGTATTTATTTTAGACAGATACAGGTAGATAGATTTTTATGCTGGACACCAGAACAGTTTTTATATAATACCAAGATTTTGGCATTAGTGTACGAGGCACGGTTACAGCAAACACTAAAAGCCTTCTTTAAAATGCTCAAAAAACGTAAAATGTAAATGTGCATTTTACCAAAGGACTTTTTTTCTTTTTCTTCCAAATATAGTGGCAGAGTCAGTTTTGCAGTTCTGAACATTCCAAACCTACAGTATCTAGGCCTCCGTTCTCTGAAAGAGATCAGTGATGGTGATGTGGTCTTAAAGAACAACCCCAAGCTCTGCTACACTGATGGCATCTACTGGCAGAACCTCTTCAGATCTGACAAACAGAACATACAAACTAGAAACATTTCAGCTACCAGTGCCTGTGGTAAGGGAGCGATTGGTGCATTTATTGGAAGTAATCTGTGGTGCACAATTACCTTGATGCTTGATGCTCCACTTGGAAAGATGACAGTGAGATGATTTTTTAAATATGGACTTTCTTAGTATAACGTGCAATTGAATAAATCAGAGAAAGCATGTGATTCTCTCTTACTGTGCTTTTTCATTAGAGTTCCAAAAAAGTATCTGCGATGGAATGTGCACTGAGGAAGGCTGCTGGGGTCCAGGACCCTCCATGTGCTTCTCCTGTAGGCGTGTCAGCCGTCGAGGGAGCTGTGTGAATGCCTGCAATCTGCTTGAAGGGTGAGTGCCACAAATATATGGTTCACAGGCAAAGTTCTGGTAACAATAAGGGAAAAATTCAGTCTTTTAGGTCTCACTGTGCCATTCCCAGTTAGCTAGCTGTCAGGAAGGGTGCTCTCCTCTTCCATATCATCACTGTTGTGTCAAAATCTTCTTCTTTTCTGTTTTCCAACATTGTTTGGCCTTTCCATCTTTTGGTAAAGGTTAATCTTGATCCTAGTCTTACATTATGTGATGAGTGGATAGAAATGGTCTTTGGGATTCTTAATTGGAATAAAATCTTGTTACATTAAATTACATTACAAGTAAATTGTTTTCCTCCTTCACCTACAATTTTGGAGACACACATTTTTAATATATGTATGTATGTGATATACATGTAATGTTAGTCTAACACAGTGTCATTTAGAGTGGATTCTTATCACACTTTGGGCTTAAAACTTGTACTCATAACGTGATGTGCATTACAGTGAGCTCCATAATTGATAAGCACATATGGTAAAGATGGCTGTAGAGATCACTGACATCACCATATCATTGCATTAGCCTTGTGTGATGCTTTTTTAGGCTATTACTGATGCTTCTTTCATTTGTTGTTTGATTTGGGAGGTTTCTATCTTCTATGTATCAATCAGTGTCCTCTTCAGGAGGTGAAATGCGTGCTCAATTGGATTAAAAGTCAGGTAATTGACTCGGTCAGTCTAATGAAGTCCTCTCTTGTGTTGGCAGTATGCTTTGGATCATTGTCTTGAAGCATGATGAAGTTTCTTCTAATAAGTTTGGATGCATTGCTCTGTAAATTGGCAGACAGAATGTTTCTGTAGACTTCTGAACTCATTCTTCTGGTACCGGCATGAGTACAGATTAGTGAATCCGTTCCAGAAGCAGCCATGCAAGCCCAAACCATGACACTACATCCACTATGCTTGACTGATGAGCTTTTATGTTTTAGATCCAGATCCTTTCTTTCTCCACATTTTGGCCTTTCCATTACTTTGGTAGAGGTCAATCTCATCATCAGTCCATAAAACTCTGTTCCAGAACATTTGTGGCTTATACCTGTATTTCTTTGCCAGCTCCAATCTAGCCTTCTGACTCTTATTGCTGAGGGGTGGTTTGCGTCTTGTGGTATGGCCTCTTTATTTCTGCTCTCAAAATCTTGTCCAGACAGTGGGTTGTGACACCTTCACTCTACCCCATGAAGGCTGTTAGTGATGTCACTGACTGTTGTTTTTGGCGTTTTTTTCACAGCTCTAACAATGTTTCAGCCTGCTGTTGTTTTCCTTGGCTGACCTGTTTGATCTCTGCTTGTTAGTATGCCAGTGTTAGGACATTCCAAATTGTTGTATGCTCATGCAATGGCTCTGATCAATTGTCCCTCTTTTCTCAGCTTCAAAATGGCTTGTTTTTCTTCCTTCACAGATGAAACTCTGAGTAGACTTCCAGAGCTAATAATTGTTTAAAGAATCAATCTAACAGGGCACATCTGGGCAACAAGAAACACCTGCCAGTCACATGTTCCATGTTTTTCAATATTTTTGCCCATTTGACAGAACCTGCTCGAACAAAAGGTGCTGTGTTCTAAGTTGTTTAACACATGCAGATGTAAACATCAGGAAATAAAAGCTGAAATTCTGATCTATCAGCTTTTTTTTTATTTGAAACCCAGATGTCTTCAGTGTATCACAAAAACAAAATAATTGGCTGTGCCGTTCCATTATATTCTGAGGAGCATGTATTTCACTTACTGAAAACAAGACAGAAGGTATAAAATAATGGAACTTACAATTGGCTGGCCTGGTATTAAACAATGCAATTCATTTTTGTTTTTCCCTAAAATGTGGGTACTTTGTACAAAAGCCCTGTGATTCATTTGTTTCATATAGTGTTGGACAGTTTCCACTAGTAGGCAGTTTCCATTAGTGTAGAAGCTTCTTTCTGTAATAAGGTGCTTTTTTCGGCTCTCCCTGCATTTTAATCTTTCACCAAATAACTGACACCTTGGTACTTTCTAGTACTTTTTCTTTGATTAGAAAAAATGTATTGAGGCTTCAATAAATAGTCAAAGGAGAAATTGAGGTTATAGGAACTTCAGGAACTTTAGGTCATACCCTTGATTCTCTTTGTGAATGAGGTAACCAGTCCACTCTCATGAGAAAGAAATGCTTATTTTGAAAGACTGCATGGTGCTGTATTGCCGGGCTTCCCAGCCCTGGTCCTGGCATACCCTCTGCCCTGCATGTTTTAGTATTTCCTCTGCTCCCAACACACCTACGCAGTTAATTAGCAAGTCTTTCCTGGTTGAAATGGGTGTTTTAGAGCAGGAAAACACGAAAAAGGGCAGGACCAGGGTTGGGAACCTGTGCTCTACTGGAACATGAAGGAAGAGCACTTATATCCAGCTGGGGTTGGTTTTGAAATGGGGTATTTTAATGTATTTTCAGTCAGATTAGGCTGGTGTCTTCTTTGGCGTGCTATTTTCATAACTCTCATTTTTTGGGTTTCTTTGTACAGAGCGCCTCGTGAGTACATGTCCAACCACACCTGTTTGGAATGTGACCAAGAGTGCAAGATTCTCAATGGAACCCCAACTTGTCATGGACTAGTATGTGGCATTCACTCATAGTTTGTGGCTATTTTTAAGGATGGATTAAGGATTCTTAGCCATAATAACTCAAACCCAGAGTGGGCTGTAACATGTAGGTTGTTTGCAATGCTTCTTCTTCAGTAATGGTAAAGGTCGGTGAATTAAGTGCTTTAATATCACCATTGCTTCTGACAAGCTCTGTATTCCCTCCCTTGGTCTTTTGCTGGAATTAAATCAAGTTGATTTTCTCCAATCAATGTTTTGTCTTGCCTTCCCCTTCCTTATTTCCCATGCTGCCTTTTCAGGGAGCTGATCAGTGCATTGAATGTGCCCACTTTAAAGACGGCTCCCATTGTGTTTCCCAATGTGCCCATGGTGTACCTGGCATGAATGACAGACTCGTCTGGACCTACCCCAACAAAAATAGAGAGTGTCAGCCATGTCATCCTAACTGCACCCAAGGGTAAGACAGCAGTTTCACTCATGAGCTTTTGTTTTTTGTTATTTAATATACTTGTCGAGTTTAAATCCACTTCAGATTTATACAAATAATGTGTTTTGACTTATACTGTGTTAACAAATATGAGCAAAAAAGCAAGTATTCATAAGCATGAACAAAGATTACACATCATCAACTTCAGGTGTGTAAATTTGAACTGGCTATATGCACTGAAAGTATATTAAATGTGTCTATATCCTTGTCTCACCTATACCTTGACCTTGGTACTATGTTCTATCTTATTTTCTATGTTCTGTTATAAAGTGCTGGTGATAAACAAAGAACTATGTCTCTTTGTTTAGGTGCAGTGGACCTGGACTGGAGGGATGTGAACCACAAAGGTGGGCAAATGCACAAGAAAATCCCTCAGTGTTGTCATGTTTTTCACTAAATTCTTTGGTGGTACACTTACCTTTGTTAGTCTTGTTAGCGGTGAACTCTCACTTGTATAACATCATATACACATTAACATGTTGGCCCTTGTTCTGTAAAACCTCCTTTAAAATAATATGATGGTACACAAACACACACAGGGCACTTATGTTCTGACTTGCTGCACAATTCATGTTTGTGTTGCAAAGTGTGAAAATAAATAAAGTGCTATACATTTCTGAAGACTTTTGGGAATATTTTCAGTTTGAGGTTCCTTACTATAATCTATGCTGTCATGATTGAGATCATTTACAAAATATGACAGGGTGCATACACCAAAAGCTATATCACTTCAATTGTTGGGGTCAGCCCTGACGCATCACATACGTATACTGTGAAATGACCTATAGGCTCTAAAATCAAAATTTTACAAATATTATAGAATAGGGAAATAACCTGGATAACCTGAGATGACTAATCTAATGTAAACTAATATAAATCAATGTAAATACTACAAACTGCATAAAAGTTGGGTCACTATGGCTGTAGATAATAGTTTTGTGTGGTTTAGGGAGAAAGAAAATATTAGCATTGTGTCTTTAGACGATCTCCCTTTAACCTTTGAATGCATAAAACATGTATGTGGCTGGAAGAAATTGAATAGTCAGTTTAACCTTCTTAGTAGAAGTGCTATTGCAAATTGTATTTTGGGATCACTGTATCAGCTGTATTGCTAAAGCAAGAGATTTGAGCGCACAAGAATATGCCAAACTTTCTTTTCAAGTGACTTGATTTTACATATCTCATCTCCAGCTCACACACGTCCTTGGTTGCATCAGGTGTTGTGGGAGGACTGCTGCTAGTTGTCGTGGTTCTCTTTTGCATCTTCATTCTGTTGCGCCGAAGACGCATCCGCCGAAAGAGGACACTGCGCCGCCTACTGCAGGAAAGAGAGGTGCAGAATGATGAATGTCAGAGTGATGTTTTAGGAAGTTATTGTCACTGTCATGGCAAAACTTTGACAACTCAATTGAAGCAGTCCAAAATGAATCTAATAAAGCTACCATTCTTGAAATATGAGGTTTTCATATGACAGTGATGTGATACAGGTTGTTAATTTACTCTGTGTGTGGTTTAATGTTGGCAATATTATATGAACATTAAGGGCATTTTTATGTGTAAGAGCAAAAGCATGCACTACTAAGGCAAAGAGGGCTGTAATTGGCTTAATATTTGCAAAACAATTCCTCACAAGTCCTTCAGGTTAACTGATTCGTTGTCTGCAACAACATGGTACACAACATAATTCACAAGAACCATAATGGTGTCGACTTACCGTTTAACAGTTTTAATCCAAGTGGTTTTCGTTGCAAACTGATTCAGACAGGTTTATTTGAGGCATTTTACACACTGAAATAGCACCTACAAGATTAGGAAGAAACATTAACTTGATCAAAATAAACACAAGAATCTTATTTTTTCAGTACATAACTGACAGCAATATGATTATTAACCTAGATTAAACCAGACTGACTACATGTTAGTAGCATTAGTGTAGAAATAACTGGTTCTTATTTTGTTTGCTTTGTGGTGATTATCCAGCAGGTTTTAAAATCATATCCACCTCATTCACATTCAGATGTTCGTGTAAAGAATTAAAAATGACTCTTTGTAAAGGCCTACGGTGGGTTTGTCCTTATAGTACATTAGAGAACGAGTACAGCACTGCAAAACAGTGGAATATTTTGAATATACTTCTTTGGTTAAACTAGATGTTAAACACAAGTTGTTAGCATTTAATGCTGACTCTACTGTTAAATGTAACTAATTGATTTGACAGCTGTTATTACAAATGTACAGTACTGTGCAGAAATCGTAGGCAGCCAAGACAACCTTTTACAGCTGTTTATCTCATCAGTAAGTGTGTTTTTGCCAGTAAAACACTAAAAAAACGTTAGAATAAATACAAATAGGCATAACCAGAATACCCCTTTTAAAGAGTTATTAGTATATCGTTTGGAAGAATGCAGTTAGCAGAAGACAGGTTTCGTTGCTGACCTCTCAGTGCACTCAGCCTAATTTGTCAAGTTCTATAACCAGTACACATGGTTTTATTTACTAAATGATTGATTTGCCAAAAATGCTGTATTTCCTGAAGGAGAGGTTTGGAATGGTTAGTACTTGGTTACACATAAACTCACAATGTATTATTAATTTGTTTATTTATGCTTATTCTACTGTTTACTGTTTAATGTTTACTGTCCAACTGGCTAAGACTTTTGCACAGTATGTATATTGTATCAAATTGCAAATAATGCATATATTATATTAGTGTACATACAGTGTGGAAAATTGGGACAATTTAAGTTGTTGTTTTTGCTGCACACCTACGTAGTTTGGATTAAAAATTAATTACAGGCAATGGCCCCAAGAGTCCAAGAAAAAAAGACTTTGCATCACCAGTTTAGATGCTTAATGGCTCACTATTGCTGATACAACTGACCAGTTGGGTATTGAAATTTTGTATTAAATCACATGAATGAGCTTTGGCAGTGTCAAACTAATTGAATCAGTATCATAAAAGTAGAAGTAGCTGCACATTGTGCCCTAGTGATTGTGCAATCAGGTGACAAACAGCTGTCTGCTTAGAATTCAGCTCACTTCAGCTAATTTGTGGTTAGTCATTGTTAACCATGTTGACTGACCTTGCAGTTGGTGGAACCTTTGACTCCAAGTGGTGAGGCACCAAATCAGGCCCTCCTCCGCATCCTGAAAGAGACGGAATTAAAGAAAGTCAAAGTTCTTGGATCGGGGGCATTTGGCACAGTCTTTAAGGTAAATTAATGAACAGCAATAACTCATAGATACATTAAATATTGTATTGCTATGTCTGTATTGCTGCCCTACTGCTGCAATGTACTGACATACTGATTTCCTTTCCTTCTAGTATCCTGTCTTGTTTAGCATATCTGAAAACATGATTTATTAAACATCATTTTGTGACTCACTGAAAGTATTTTTTATCCAGGGTTTGTGGATTCCAGAAGGCGAGGATGTGAAGATTCCAGTTGCTATTAAAGTTCTCAGAGAAGTCACCTCTCCTAAAGCTAACAAAGAAATTCTGGATGTGGGTATTATTATTATTATAGTAGAGATAACATGGAAATATTTCCCCATTAGTGTTAAATGTTAACTATACCGTTAAATGCAATTGGTTGATTAGTTCAGTAATTCCCAACCACAACCTGCAGAGTAGTTATAAGATATTTAATTATAATGGTAGTCATTTTGGGGAATTGCAGAATGTTTGTCAATAAAAGTATATAGGCCTGTTTCAGGAGAAATATGAATAAGCTTGGTGTTCTGCATTTCAAGGGTGAGAGGGAGGGGGTTGCAAATCCAGTATACATTTTTGTGAGGTCACAGCTTGAAATGGTTGAGAATTATTGACAGTATCATGGTTTGTCTGTAGGTTTATAATTGTTGAACAGCTGTTGTTATAGAAATACAATATGCTGCAAAAGTCCCTGGCAGCCAAGAAAATAGTTGGCAGTTAATATCTTGGTTGGAAAAATACAGTTGGACAATTAGAGGTTTGCTTCCTGATTGTTCGCTGCACGCCAGCTATTGACAAGTTAAAGCAGGTACTGGAGTGTTACCATAAGTACTGGGCTTTTTTCCTGAGAGTTTTGGAAATGATGACACGTGTAAAATCACAGTGTGTTGTTACTTTATCTTTATTCCAATGTTACTGTTTTTTGAGCAAATAAATGCTGCCCAGATTATGGATTAATGGATGGAACATATCATTTTCCCAGATGCCGCAGACTTTTGCTCAGTACTGTATACTGTATCAGACTGTAACTATCACAAATACAGTATATGCCTATCCATATCTAATATGTATAATTTGATGACCTTTCTAGGAGGCCTATGTTATGGCCAGCGTGGACCATCCACATGTGTGCCGCCTATTGGGAATATGCCTGACATCAACAGTACAGCTTATAACCCAGATTATGCCTTTTGGCTGTCTGCTAGATTACGTCCGAGAAAATAGAAACAACATTGGCTCACAGAATTTGCTCAACTGGTGTGTGCAGATAGCAAAGGTAAGTCTGTGACAGATGATTAACCTAGAAATCAATACATTACTTACGCACAACAGTCAATTCAAGTGGTCCTTTTTGTCATTTCGTAATATAACTTGTATACATTAGAACAAAATATCGTTCTTCTGGTCCCATAGTGCAACACACAACAGCAGCACAGTACACAGGACTACATAAAGTGCAGGCAGTGATAAATGAGTGTATAATGTACAGTAAGTACACCAGACTAAAAGACAATAAATGAACAGAACAATAAATCTACATTACAGACACACAGACAGAAAGTAGAGTCTGGCGATGATAGACATGTTCACCAGTGTTCCAGATGCACATCTTGAGCAAAATTGTTTCAAAAAACTGGCTACAGGAAACAAAAGCACTATATTCTTACTACCTGAAGTGGCCATTGTGTCCGCCATCTTGGAAATCCGTCTGCACCCCTAAACGTTTTCCGAAACTGATCCATCACTAAAAGCCAAGAGTCATAAAAACTCGATTGGGATCAGAGTCAGATGATTTATTCATATGTTGGTCAAGCTGTCTTGCGATTTTATGATGAGCACACAAGCTATATTTGAATGCTGTTGTGAATAAATCCGATACAGTCAGAGCTGACGAGATAGATGCACCCTAGAAAGAACATTTCCATTTTAAACATTACCTACAAAAACATTTTCCATGTAAAAAGCGACAAAGATAGGCTAGGTGTGTTTATGTGGTTACAATAGTGTGATTAATGTCAACAAGAAACAGGTGTGTTCAATGAGTTAATTCCAAGACACTCACATCTGACATTTACCTTCCCAGTTAAGCCGTAGCCTAAATATTTGACAAGATAATTTTATTCCGTCATCCATTTCTGCGGTGCTTACCTGACACAGTGTTTGCATTGTCTTTTGAAAGGACTAAGACTAGAGCTGCATTCGGAATGGTTCACTTGTTCCTTCACCATTCACTCTATAGCATTTGCTATATAGTGAACTTGATTAGGGAACAAGCATGGAGCGAAGAGTGTTCGGACACTACGTTCGGAAGCACTGCTTTTATGATGAACCGGTTTAAAAATAAACAATTAACACTCAACGATTCACAGTCATGTAAAAGAATTTTCTAACAAAGTATTTTAGTGGTTGACCTTTTAACGGTGTCATGAGCTTGTAATTCATGAACATGCTACATAGTTTGTAGTAGCTACCAACTTAGTGAGTCCCTGCTGTTTTGCTACTGTTCAGTATTATACACTGTGAGAAATAAAGGTTCTGTGCAGGTACAATTTTTGGTCATCAAGGTACAAACAATGTAAATGTACCCTGAATAAGTTTTTTTCGGGTGAAAAGTACACATTTGTACCTTTTTATAGCCTAATGTTTTAAAACAGAACATTCAAATAAGAAGCCTGGAGACGAGACGGGGTGTGTGGAGTCAATGCAACTTAGAAAATATAATTATAATGGATTATGGCACAATTATGTTCCCTAACTAAAGATACTGAGATGTACCCTTGAGGGTACCACCCCAGTGACAAGAGGGGTACAGCCCCAGTGCCAGTTTTGCACCTTTATTTCTGAGAGTGTATCTTGAAAAAAAGCCAAGCTGTCAGCTAAGGTAAATAACTAAACTGACAAACTACTCATCATTTTGTTTTTTAGCTCTCTTCTACATCTCTAAAATCTTTCAGCATCTATCAGTGTAGCAGGAGATTTTTCATTTTGTCATTTATCTCCAGAACGAATGAAATCAAATGAAGTGCTTAAGCTCACGACTTCTGCTGAGGGGAGTTTATGAGAGATAATTCAGTAATTGGGCATCCAAGATGATTTTTGTCTAAGAAAATGTGACCTTAAGAAACACGTTTTTCCTTCGGGAACTGCTGTTTCCTAGAATATAACCATGCGGCCCTATAGATGGACTCTTTGATAAGTTTGTGAATCGTGTTTAAATTAACCTATATTGCTAAGATTATTCCATCACAGATATTTGCAGCAGTAGAAGATGAGAGCAGTGTAAATGGAGGTGTTCATGGCAGGCAGCTAAAGTTAATGAGGGCAAACTATCGCAGATAGAGAGAAATGATCATGATTAGCTGTTGTGCTTCACTTAATGCAGTAATTTTGTCCAGAGACATTCAGGATGTGCTCGTAAGGCTGTTTGCATAGAAAGTCCTGCCCTTCAATAAAAAGAGCCAATCAGCCTTCTGGTTACGCCTCAAGTGGTGAAAGAGAGATCATGTTTGCAGTGGCTGGGGGTTTTAAAATGCAGATTTAGAAAAGAAAAACATCTCACAGTTGAAACCACCGTTTTGCAATACAGAATGCGTTATGCTAGTAGTGAACTATGCTGCCTGTCACAGTTGTCTAAAAGCAGTGGAAACGGACGGTTAAAACAGAAGTTAGGTCACCACTGGGGTTGTCTTAAAGTTAGGACAGTGTTTAGGAAATTTGATCTAGTTAGGATGTTTTTGTAATACTATTTTATTTACCTTTTTCTGGAGTTAGGATGAGATTATGAACTTAGAAACTGTTCTATCTGCAATAGCTGTTGTCCTAAATTGAGTCTAAACTGAAATTGTCGTGGTCCCTAAACAGATCTCAGATTTCAGAGTTAGGATGTTTCTGTAATATGGCCCCTAGTCTTGTATGGCTGGAAATAACTGCCCGGTGGCACTGCAAAGATTAAACAGACCTTCCTGTAAGGACTTTGTTTTGACTCTAGGAGGATGGCCAGCTAGAAGAGCCTGAGATTAACTCACTTACTAGCTGTCATAAATGTAGTCATATTTTGCTTCCAAAAGTTTACGTCTGTCAGTGGAACTACTTAATATTAAGTAGTAATATTAAGGGCAGTGCCTATTCGCTAATGTAAGCATCATTATCTTTTTGAGTAAAATTTATTTCAGCTTACATTTGTATATAAAAATATATTCTTCCACCCTCTGCTGTCTGTGCGTATGTATTCTCACCGTCAGGCGTCGCACTCCAAACCAGAGAATGTATGGTGGGGAAAATTGCCGCTCAAATGTCTTCCAGGTTTGCCACTAGAGGGCGCCCCTGAGCGAGTCCAAAATGAACGGATTAATATGGAGCATTTGAGGAAAATCATAGTTAGTGAATGTTCAAACATTTTTGTATAGTAGAATGCATTCATTAACCACGCACAGAACATCTTCTGTGTTTCTCAAACCCTAGGGGGCGCTCCCCAGCGAGTTCAAAATGAATGGGTTAAGATGGAGCATTTGACCAAAACCATAGTTTATAAATGCTTAAAGATTTTTATTATAAAAGAATACATTTGTTTTCTGAACAAAGAACAGCATAAAACATTTTAACATCGCTGTTATATCAGTGAAGTTTACCACTGAGATTTCAGACAACACTAGAAAATGGTCTGACACATTATATTGTGCACTATTTCTGTATTGGGGGCGAGAGCAAACACACCATAGGTTTTGGTCTTATCAGCCATAGTGTCTCTGGTCAAACTCAAAATGGACATGGGGAGAAACATCGATCCTGTGTGTCAAAAAGAGGGCCAAAATTTTGCTTTACAAGAATTTACTTTTTTAACACAAGATATGTGAGCAGAATACATAGTTTAGTCCTTAAAGTTTTAATATATCTATCCTGGTTGTCCTGCATAGCCTGATCAGTAAAAATACATACCTCCACAATAAACAACACTTTGGGGAAAGGGGAGGGGGTACTGAATGCAGCGATTCTTTGTGCCAAATACTTCAACAAATCAGTTACATCATTTCAGTAAATTCCTCTTAGTGGCATTTCCATTCTGCATTGTTTGTGTCTTAACAGGGCATGAATTACTTAGAGGAGCATCGACTTGTCCATCGTGACTTAGCAGCCAGGAATGTGCTGGTGAAGACACCCAATCATGTGAAGATCACTGACTTTGGCCTGGCCAAGCTCCTTAGTGCTGACGAGAAAGAGTACCATGCAGATGGAGGAAAGGTATGGTCATTCGAATCCGACTGAAAGTAGTGCAGTTTCACTGCCAGAACAAAACTTTGTATTTCCATTTTTGACTTTTTTTACATAATTTGAAAAATACTAGCTGCTGTTTAAATTTTGTCGGAATGTCACAATGAATGGACTGATAGAAAAGATCCAAAATGGCATAGAATAACACTTTTTACATGAACTTCTCCTGTAAAGTTACTTTTTTGGAGATATGAGGTTTTGTTCTGACAGCGACAATATATTTTAAATTTGAACGAGGAAACAGTTGCTTAAAATTTTATTTAATTCCATTGGCATGTGAAAATGAAGGGAACTAAGGGTGCGTTTCACTACACTCCAAAAAAAGATTTGTTGTTTTAACTTCAATTAAAGTTCATATGAGTTCACCGAACATTAGATTAATAGTAAGTTAAACTACTATTAACAAAACAGTAATTACATCCTGTTAACTTATTATTTGAAGTTCAGTAGAAGCCACATTGTAAAGCAGACAGGTTAACTTACTTTTTTCCAAGTTAAAATCTCTTTTTTTCTCTTTTTTATACAGCCTTTTTTATATACCCTTATAGCTCGCTTGATATTGAACATAGGAAGTATCTACACTAAGGCACACTGATTTATATGACAATTCTCTACCATCTTCACTTTAGATGCAGCAATTTGCAGTCCCTTCTTCTTTCAAGGAGTTTTTAGTAAAAATGAACAAGCTAGTTTTTGAGACTGTCATGCATAAGCCATGTCCATAGCTCAAACATGTTACAGAAGTATCCCTCCTTTGGCTTTGATTGACATATATTTGTCATTGTGATTCTTTATTTATACAGATCTACCTAAAAATGACTTACAGGGGCTATATCCTACGTTTTTCTTGTATTTTGTTTTAACAGGCTGCGTTTGTTAGTGTGTCTTTAAGACATATATATGTAAATGACCTTTGTTCTGATCGACTGCCCTGTCTCATGCGCAAGCTGAAAGATGCCAGAAATGTTCTGCATGACTTCACTTAAATTAGCTTTACGTGATATTTAACACTGTTTTCTTGGCTAACAGAGGATGTACAAAACACAAAATGCCAATAATCTTTCCTTGCTAAATCAACATCTCTTATATTTTCTCTTATATTGCATCCTTGTATCCCAGAAGCATTCTGTACCTCTGCCACATGATCGGCTTGCATCCGTAATGCAAGCTGAGATTTCACTTTTCACTGTCCCGGTAAAATCTACATTATGTCTTTTTCTACTAGGTTCCCATAAAATGGATGGCTCTAGAGTCCATTCTTCACGGGACGTACACACATCAGAGTGATGTCTGGAGTTACGGTCAGTAGTAGTCCGTTCTGGTCCTTTTTTAAGTTTAACAGTGTTATATTCAAGAAATGTCTATAAATTAATACAATTTAATAGTAGATAAACGCTCCCGAAATTCTAAGCTGCTGCCTGCTCAGAACTGAGTGGGCGTGTCAATGTGCAAAATGATTGACAGTGGCATCTCAAAAAAATCTGAAGACTCAGTGGTGTCTGATCTAAGAAACCTGCAACACCGCCAGTCAGTGTGGGTGTGGTTTCTGGTCTGCGTCCCCTACGCACCACTCTCATGCATGCGTAGAGAACATTACTTTTACCGGCACAACTTGATCTGTACCGCATATGTGTAAGCATTTTTCAGCAGTTTAAAATTGTATTTGAGTACTAATTACATGTGTATTTTATACTCCTGACTGCTTTGATGGCGAGCATTCACATGTGGGGTTGCTTCTTATCCAAGGTAGTGAGCTCACTCACAATTTTGCCTAAGAACACTGCCATGAATAAAGAATGGCATCAAAACATCCTCCATGAGCCACTTCTTCCAGCGACTGAGGCGCAGTTTGGTGATGAATGATACTTTGTCCAGCATGATGGAGCACCATGTAACTAAAGGGCTTGGTGAACAAAACATTGAAACTTTGGGTCCATGGCCAGGAAACTCCCAGAAAATGTGATAAACTCCAAGCAGGAATGGGTTGCCATCAGTCAGGATTTGTCCCAGAAGCTGATATTGCAGAAGTCTTGACAAAGAAAGGTCAACACTGTCTTTGCATAAACTTGATGTATTTGTCAATAAAAGTTAAAAAAACTTATGAAATGCTTCTAATTGTACTTCAGTATACCATAGAAACATCTGACAAAAAGATCTAAAACACTGAAGCAGTAAACTTTGTGAAAAACCAAAATTTGTGTCAGTCTCAAAACTTTTGGCCGTGACTGAAGAAGGAAAGGGAATGAGACTACTTCTATAGGCCTAGTGGTTTCAGCATTAAACCAGAGAGAATGTATAATCTTTCATTAAACACCCCAAACTTACCTGCTAATATGACCGTCGCTACCCGATCTGCGTCCTCTGCCCGCGCATGTGCATCACTGTCCTGCCTGTGCACTGCATTCAGAGAGGTTATACAGATCCTCCTAAAAATGGAGCCATATCCTGCATTTTTCTTGGATTTTATTTATCCCCTGAAAACCTAATAATAGTTTTACGATGCTGCCCAATCTATACCCCACATGCACGCGTCTTTTTACGACATTGTAATAGCCGATTGCCTCGGTGAGACTGATGTGGAAACTAAAATGTAAGCAGTCTCATTCTAGTTAATGCTGCTTAGTACTGTGGCTGAATCTCAACAGAAACGACCAACAGCGTTCCTCTTCTGCCAGTTAATTGTAAAAACAAAAACTATAGATAATAGTTAATGTTAGATAATGTATAATATAGATAATAGATAATGGAACAAAATCATTAAAATGAGTAGACTGGGGCCTCAGCAGACCATATACACAAGCTTCACATTAATCCAGCTGTTCTGAATGCAAATTAGCAAACTTATTTAACACAATTAGCATTAAATTGCCTAAGTAAGTGCCTGTGTCTTCCTCTTTGCAGGGGTAACTGTGTGGGAACTCATGACATTCGGAGCAAAGCCCTATGATGAAATTCCGGCGAGTGAGATCGCAGATGTTCTGGAGAAAGGAGAGCGTTTACCGCAGCCTTCCATATGCACTATAGATGTCTACATGATCATGGTCAAATGTGCGTCTGCAATAATTCACAGAGAATATTAAATACAAATTGATTTCAACTGTTCAATTATTAAATTCTATTATATTGTATATTATACAAACATTTGCAGCAGCAAGAAAACCTAGTCATAGATTTGAGCATGAATTTAGGGTGTCCAGGTTATTAAGTAACCTATTTGTACCTGCACTTATTGTCCATTTTATCAGGTACATCTACCATATAAGTGTACACTATAGGTGTAAAATTACCGACTGTAGCTCATCTATTGCTGCACAATTGTCAGCCCCCTCTACCGTTAAATATGCACAGTGTTTAAAAACACCAGTAACATTGCTGTGTTTAATACACATGTACCAATAGAACACCCATTACTATGTGACTACCATGTCAGTCTCATTGCTATGATGAGATCTACCACCCAGATCTACCACCGGTCAGCAGTGGTCCTGTCTTTTTAATTTTCTAATTGATAGATGAGGTAGAGGTTGGCTGACATTGCACATCAACATATAAGCTACAGTCAGTATCTGTATAAGTGAGCCTGCTGTATATGTTTATGTGTATCTAATGAAATGGCTAATGAATTGTAGGCACAATGTAGGTTTTCCTGATAAACTGGCAATTCAGTGTAGGCATTCGTTATATTGTCTGACCTGTGAATTCCACTTCAGGTTGGATGATAGATGCAGACAGCAGACCTTGCTTTCGTGAGCTTGTTGCAGAGTTCTCAAAAATGGCTCGAGATCCACCGCGCTACCTTGTAATTCAGGTAAAACTGTCACTCATCATCAACATCATGTTCTTTATTTAAGCTTACATTACACAGAGTAATCCACATTGGTGCATAATAACTAAAAGCAGTTTTACCCAGGACTAGTAAACACTCGTGCAACCTGAAGTATAGTAAAGTCACTTGAGTTGGTTTGGTCAAGTCTGTTATTCACAATGAGCATGGATGTGATATAGAGTGGCATCTGGCTAATGAGAGCTTTACAGATAAAAAGTAACCAGTGAGTTTCTATTTGCATAGATAGAGAGGGCCAACCAACTCTGTACTATAGTACACAGTGATGAGCACTGTATGGGTCTCCAGTGACTCACGATTGTGTCTACTATAAATAAAGCTATTATAGTTATAATAATTGTTTGGGAAATCTAGTTTGCAGACATGCTGATCTTGAATTGTTGAAAAAAAAAATAGGCAGATGTCAAAAGTCATCAAAATTGCATGTAAACTGATCGACCTCTATATGCATCCCATGTGATGTTTGTCTATAAAAATGAAAGATTAAAATTCATGCTTGGATGAATATTGTAAATTCTAATTTATAGAATTCTTGGAACAGGACTGGGGCTTTTATGTTAAAATGGCAATACCACTTTACATCCCTTTTCTGTGTATAAATGCATACAATGCAATGTTAATATAAGCACAACATAATAATTTGACTTAATTTGGTTGTCCGCAGGGAGATGAGCAAATGCACCAGCCCAGTCCCACAGATACTAACCTGTATCACACCCTGCTCAGTACAGAGGACATGGGGGATGTAGTTGATGCAGAAGAGTACTTGCTGCCTTGCAAAGCCTTCTTCAACAGTTCACAATCGCATACTTCACCGCATCAAAACTCAACTGTACGTACAGTGATCTTGTACTTGGTGGTAGTGGTCATTTTAGTTGTAGTAAATGTCCACTTTTAGTAGTGGACATTTAGGATCGGATTTCTGGACATGGATTAAACCTATTCGTGGACTACATTTTCATTTGAATGGAGAATCTACACTCAGAATGCTGAGTAGTCCTGGCTTTAATCCCTGTTCAGAGGCATAGTTTTATTTTATGTAAAGTCATGGGTATTCTTAGGATGTGACGCAAGCCAACATGACATGACAATGAGATATGATAATGAGATACAGCATACATTCATTTGAAGCCTCTTCTTGTTCAGGAGGTGCATGGGAATGGTATGATTCTGCGGTACATCACCGATCCAACACACGGCTGTCTGGATATAGACCAACTGCCAGGTACCTCTGTTGTCCTGTACCATATTCCGCATTAGTGGTCACCAGCTTTCCTCCACCTTCCTGCTGCCTGAGGCTTCAACACAGAAATCTGGGGAAACAATGATCAGTTGAAGTAGGGTTGAAATTAATTCAACTTTGGAGGAGGGACGGTGACCACTGTTCTGAATAATAAATATATAATAAATTCCTTTCTTATTGACATTGTACCATTTTTCCCTAATTCAAAATGTGTTTTGTTAACAGAGTACATCAACCAGGACATGACCACACACAGTGACAGGGTGAACCACAACTATGAGAACGCCATGCCTAGGGAAAAATACATAGGCACGTCTCGCAGTATACCAGAGAGGTCAAAGTTCCTGAACAAGTCACTGAGTACTGCCCCAGTTTCCCGCGGTGCCAGTCTGGACAACCCAGAATACCAGCATGACGTCCTTCACAGGCAAACTTCTGACAGTCTCTTCCTTCCCGCAGCGGAGAACTTGGGTTATCTAGGTCTTTCTACAGCTGTGCAGGCCCCAGGGCATTAGAGACAGTTGATGTGGGAATGTTGTATGAACTCAAAACAATTCAGGACCTGCATAAAGCCTGTTTCAGCAATAATTTCAAGGACACCAACACCAAACACATTTATAGTTTCCCCACCACCCTGAACTTCTGCACGTATTCTTTTTCTTTTTTCAGTCAGGCTGTTTTTTTTTCCAAATAGGGAAAACACAAGGGTTACAAGGTCACTGAACTATTTTCACTGCATTCATCACAAGCACTAACCATTTTTTTGTGACTGGACAGAGTTTTTCAGCTGTTGGCCACTTCAGCTATACATTTATGTTTTCAGAATTACTCAGGGTGCACTCCAGGTGAGCACATGACCCACATAAACTTGATTGAAACAATGGACATTGTGTGGTTGCAGTTTTAATATAAAAGGCCAGTCACTGCTTTTCCTCTCTCCTCAGCAACTCGACTGACCTCTTTTACCAGAAAGTGTGGTGCATGTATGCACTTATCCAATGTTTTCTTTTAATTTTTAAACGTATTAATACAATGCATTGTTAAATTTTAATTCCTTCCAGGTTGAGTCCAGTCAGTAAATCAGTATTGAAGCGTCTGAAATCAAACATCAGCCATAATGTAATATTTAATATTGCATGCTCAATTATTCATGCACTTTGTTTTTCCCCTTAACAGCACAAACAGAAAAAATAGACTGAATGTTTAAGTCTCAGCATTGTATTCACAAGTTGGTGTGTTGTGCCCAGGTCTACAGAAAGGTGAAATTGTTTAAAATTCACAAAATGTTGTTTACATTACTTCTAACCCTGCAGTATTTATAAAATATGCACCATGGAGGAGACTAATGCTGTGGTCGCACAAATGTGAATTAACTAATGTCATCTAACATGTAAAAAGAATTAACAGTAGTTACTTCTAATAAAGTTTTTCTTTTTGTCCAGACTTTTAATTATACTTGTCATTGCCTCAGCTGATGGTTTCACAGCTCTGTTATACATGTTACACTGAAAAGTGTGTTTCGCAATAATTTGGCTTACACAGTTTGCCCTGACATGCCTCATGCAGCTTCATTTAAGTGTTTTCTACTTCACTAAAGTGTACTTACTTTACAACACTTGACTGTGTAGATTAGCAAACATTAAATAATTAATAGTCACTAATACGTAATATAATATATACATTTATTATATGTACAACAGTAAAGGGTATATTTTGAAAGAGCACAAATGCATAGAACAGATGCATTCTGAGGAAACCACAGGTAAGATCATTACATTCAAAATGCATTTAACAATCATTACAAGATTGGTCACAAACCACTTAGAGCTAATTCCACTGCTTTTCAAACATATCCAGTCTGTTTGGTGCATTAGTGGCTGTACAAATGCTGTACAAATGCACCTATCAAACTATAACACATTAACATAAGCTCAGTACTGCGCCCATGAAGTTAGCTTGCGTTACAACTGTAGCAGATGCTACAATCAAAAGCACCATTACATACTTAATTTTATAATTTAAGTACTGTGTTGTGTGACGAGAAGGGCTTCGATTTTATTACTTTAATCCATAAGAGGGTTTAAATAAAAACCCTTTTACACCACAAAAAAAACAAAGACAAAATCTTATAAATATGACATTGTGGAACAAGATTCATATAGTGGAGCATGAAAAAGCTTTAAAAAAAAAAACAAAACAAAAAAAAACTGAAATTAACCTTGAACCTCATTAAGACATCAGAAATTAGAGCTGCACAATGTATATTTTGTTTTATGTATCGTGAGCATCGTGACTAGGAAGTGCACTCTGGCTATTCTGATTCATTCCATTCATGTGAACTAATAAACTAATTGTTTTTGCCCAAATAATCCAGGCCAATCTTATTACGGTAATTCACCATTATATTTTTTGTTGTTTTATGAAAACTGCAAAAAACGTGTTATGTGAAAAGAGCCTTAATAGAGCCTTAATCCTTCATTTTAACAGCCAACACGTCAAAGTGCCTAATATTATCTGTAACTTTTCTATAGTATTATTTTCTGTCATTGACTGGCTGCACAGTAATCAATAATGTCATGCAGGTGCGCATAATTACATGGAATCCACAATGCTAATGATCTTCAGGTATATATTTAAACAAGATGGTATTAGGTGTCCACCATAGCATTGTTAGTTTTCAGAGACTTCAGAGTTTTCATTGCTATAACAGTGTTCTTGCTCACTTGGTTGGATGTTAAATATGCTGTATTAAAATATGCCCTGTGCGCTTTCCAGCTCAATCCAGCAGGCTAATTTGTAAACGTTCAGGACCTTGGCCAGTAAATCTCACTTTATCCCTTCAGACAGTTGCAGCTTTCATCAGTGTTTGCTCCCCAAACACGTCTTTAAAGTAAGCAACATGCTCCTCGCAGTGCTCACCTGAAAAAAAAGAGAAGAACTAGGTCAGATAACAAAGAACAGCAAGAACAGCAAAACTATTTACCACATCACAAGTACTGAGATGGGCCTACAGTCATAAGTAATCTGTTTACCAGTGCTTACAGCTGAAAAAGTTTGGGAACCCCCAGCCAAATTACATATTTTGTTGATTTTTTAAGTGAAAAGAAATAATACAGCTTTTCTGCAATATTAATCCACACTTACTATATATTTGATGAACATAAAATTAAAAAATAAATAAATTGTGGCAAGCGCAAAAGTTTGGACACCTTGCTAAGACCATCTTAGCAGATATCACAACTTGCACAGTTTTTGTAAACAGCTTGGAGCTGTTTCTGTTAATGTTTTAGGAATTTTCAACCACTCCTCTTCTACTGAAAGCCTCTAGTTCTGCGATATTCTTGGTCTGTCTTGCACACACTGCATGTTTAAGATCATCCCACAGATTTTCAATGATGATTTTTGAAGTTCGGTGAAGGCCAAAAGGCTTTTTGCAAAACATGTTATTTTTTAAAATAGTTTGCTGCAGAGGTTGTGTTTACTTTTTTCCATTTCAAATATGTACTTTGCCAGGGGTGTCAAAACTTTTGCATACAACTGTATCTAAACATTTGAGCTGAGCTTAACATGCAAGGTACCAGAAGTGCAGCCAATGATATCAATATTTCATCTTATGAAGTTCAGCATTACCTACCCGGGTTGAAAGCAGGATTACCACGTAATCTCAGATTTCTTTGCTCAAAGAAGCGGAAGATTGTGTAGAACAGCATTGTATCATTGGTCTGTCGTGCAGCATCCAGGAATTTGCGTGCTGAAACATTGTCATGGCCACCGACACTGCGGACAAACCGAAGAGCTCCGAGTACCTGCTGCTTTGATAGGAGCACCTCCACAATCTCGTCATTAGCTGTGGAGAGCCTCTGTTGTCAGCACACACAAATACACACAAGTTCCTTAACAATTAATGTTACACTCCTTGATACAGTCATCGTAACTATAGCAGAACAAAAGCACACTTGCAACAAACACAAATTGGTTCTTTACCTTGAGCATATCTAGAGAGAGCTGGTGGGCTGGAGGATATGTGCTCTCTAATGACAGCAGCAGACAAGCCTAAACCAGAGAAGAACAATCCAGTGAGGTGGCAGCTGGTACTTCAGCAGCTGAACTACTACAAAGTAAATTATATAGCTTTATAAATAGTACAGCAAATGGCTGCACTTTTTACTATTTATTCTTGCTTGTTTTCTTTGTTCATTAGAGAAACACATTTCTTATCAACTAATTCTTTAGTGTGTCAGTATTAAAACAGTCTGGTTTGTCTAACTGCTGAAATGATATCGCAATCACATTTAAGGGGACCCATTCTTACATTTTTGTTCACCTTTATTTTGAGACTGCCAATGTTTGCATAATACATCAAACTCTACTTTCAAAAAAGCAGGGCAATTTGGTTTTCCATGATACGGGCCACTAATATCTAGCATCTCTTGTAGAGTAATTTGGTGCATAAATTAAATAAATACATATTTACAAATATTCAAGATCCCGCACATTTCAAACTTGCACGCAAATTATAATAGCATTCTCAATCCATTCTAGTTTATCATCTAGTGTGCATCTGGTATATTTTATATATATATATATATATATATATATATATATATATATATATATACACACACACTTTCTCAGATAATCAGTAAAAAGGTAAATGAGCATGGACTACTAATATATATGTCATGGCCTAAAGCAGCCCTAGAGCAATTATATCATGAGAGAATACATATTATTATTAATCATCAAGTCATTCAGAATTTGGCTACAGTCTTGTCACTTTTAACGCAGCTCTCAGACACAGATATATTACAGAACTCACATTGGGTAAATTTCTTTAGAACTGAACTCACCAGTGGTTTGGAGTCACTCAGCACATGATACTGAAGGAACTGATGAAGCATGTAGAAGAGATTGTGCTGGACCAGAGTTTTGATAACCAGCTCATACAAGTAGTGCTGTGAAACAGAAGAAAATGCATAAAATGTTATGCAACACAGTCCTATTTGTCCATTGCAAGATTTTAAAATTCTTAACCAATGTCAAGATCAATCACTAATCAAACCATTAAACACTACAACACCTGTCAGTTCATTTGTGTGTTCAACCAGCTGTGCCAGTATTCCCTGGATGCACATCCAGCAATAAAGTGAAGAAGATTTCATTAAATCATTGCTATATAAAACCTGGATAAAGTTTTTAATGAATCATGAACACAGTGGGGTCTACAAAATGACCTGTATACGTAGCGCCCCTTTCACTCATTTCTTCTCGCTTGAACTGTTGTGTTTAGTTTTGTTTCGGTGGCATTGCAGGCTGGGAGTGCTGGACTGAGGGTTGTCTATAGTTCTGTACTATCAATCAACAATTCTGTACCTGAACTGTGATTTGGAACTGGTTGAGTGAGCGAATGTATTCCATGAGAACTGCGATGATGAACTTATGGGACACATCCTGAACAAAAGAAAAAGACTGATGAGTCATAAATGTATAAAAATGAACCGAATGTCATAATAAACAACATTTTTAAGGACAAAACGTTACTGTATCTTTGTCAGTAGTTTAAAGTGTTTCTAGCATATTAGATAGATTATTTCAGACTCAGATAGTAAAGACAAAACATAAGTCTTGATAAATGGACCAAAGCAGTATCTTATTTATCACCTTCTTCTCAGTAAATGCAGAGAGGACGTGAGTGTACATGTCTGACTGGTCTATGACTGCTTGTGTTCGAACTGGTCTTTTGTAGGAGTTGCTGAAGCGACTGGGCCCAGATTCCATAGCCTAGAGAAGGTGAAACCGTATCACAAACATGTAAAAGTATATGTAGGATAATAACCACAATTCAGTCATTTTTTTTAATAGTTTTCATGCATTGTTTTGTCATATTTCGGCTGGTAACTCGTGACTTGACCTCTTAAACTCTAAGGACCTGAGTTATAATTGAATTAGAGTAACTGAATTATACATCTAATTATATGTCTAGCAACTGAATACTAAGCCTAGCATCCAAGAGATAAAGACTGTAAAAATAAAAAGGGACTCGCAGTACCACAGTGTACGCTTGCTCTGCCTCCAGATACTCCTTATACACTTGGTTGAGCTTATCAAACACAGTGGCCACCACAGGTAAGTTCCCTTTCTCTCCACCTTCAAGCACTTTAAAAAGAAGAAGAGAGAGCACACTGTACAGGAAAATCATATAATCAGACATCATATACACAGGATGCATGGTTGAATGCAAAAGTTTGGGCCCCCTGGACACATATTACAACCTTTTATGAAGTTATGAAGGCTAGAAGTCAACTACGCTTTTGCTTTGGGTCCTAAGGGTTAATGACATTTTGGACAGTGGAAACCACAAGCTTTTTTTAATAGTTTGCTGCAACGGTTGAGTTTACTTCTTTTCATTTCAAAAATCAACAAAATATGTCATTTAACACTAAGCAGTAA